GGAAGCTCAATAGTTGAGGAAGTGGTAGAGAGCAGAAGAGGTGATAGAGGGAGTTATGAATTACACCAACTAAAAAGTGAGGTAGTTGTAATCTTAATTATTTTCCTAGATCTTGCCTGGCTTGAAGTTACTATAAAGTATAACAATCTAAAAAAGAATAGCAGGATACAGCATGAGTGCAAGGATTTCTAAGCACTCCCCAGCTGCCAACAGACTGACTGGGCTCCTTATCAGAAAGCCTTACCTACTCAGTACTGTCCAGGCTGACACACTCTCAGCCACTGCTGAGAATGGTGCTTAGTGGTGCTTAGCACCACATGTGAAGGAAAAAAAAAAAAAAAAAAAAAGAAAAAAGAAGCACAAAGATGTATGGCAACATGTTGAACATGATGAACTATGCTTGTCTGAAACTGCCAGCTTTTACATTCAGTAAAATATATGAATATTTTCTTTCTGTCAGTTTCAAAGCATTTGGAAAAGGAACGCGTATCTGGGTTACCTGCTGTGAAACTGGGACTGCCACCAATTGATTTTCCCAGGGCCACATTCTCAGTCAGTGACAGAGCAGGCAGCACACGAGCTGACCCTGTGGAGTTTTGTTTCAGGAAGCAAAGCTCAGCAGTAACCTCTGAGATCCACAACACCACGAGAGACACAGAAGCACGTGAACGTGGCTCTGCATTGGTTTGTGGTGTCTGTGGGCCACGGGAACTGAAAGTCCCATGGAGCCAGTGCCAAAGCACTCACCTGTGTCTGTCACCGTGCTGGAGTCAGGCCGATCAAAGCGTGTTTGCCGGGTGACAGCACAGACGCACAGCCAGTGTTTGCAGCGCACACACCGCCGGCAGGGCAGGGCTCACCTCACCTACCCGCCGCTGCCTGGAGTGCCAGGTACCCTGGGAGCTACGTAAAGACCCCATTTAACCCTTCCGTAACCTGAACGGCACCGTAATTACATACTTAAAACTGACTCGATATTGCAGCTAGTTGGATATAGAAGCGCAGCTGGCTGTATTTGGTAAATCCACGAAGGGAGGCACAAAACGACTCCCGACTTCGGACAGGGCAGGAGGTGCGGGCCGGCCCGGCTCCTACAGGCGGCAGCCGAGCTCCCTGACGGGCACCGTCAGCAGGGACAGGGCCACCCCTCACCCGTAACCCTCCCGCCGCCCGCTTCGGCCGCTGCCCTCCAGGCGCACTCACCCACGGCGGAGCGGGGCCCCGGGCCGGCCGGCGCCGCCGCGGCAGCTCGCAGCGCAGAGCAGAGCAGCACCAGGCCGAGGGCCAGGCGGGCGGCGCGTCCCCCCGGCGGCTCCATGTCGGCGGTACCGGGAGCGCCCTAGAGGAGGAAAGGGGTGAGCCCGGGACAGCTCGAGCAAGCCTTAACCTTTCGCAACCTGGCCGGGGCCGCCGGAAGCCGCCGCCGCCGCCGCGCTCCGCCCCGGTGCGAGCGGCGCCTGAACCTGGGCTGCCTGCTCGGTGCCGGGGAATCGCTGTGACGTCCAGGGCTGCCTCCTTTATTCCCAAAAGGGGCATCCGGCCGCGTTGCCAGCAAGCACTGCTCCTGGAGCACGGCCTGGACTCACCCTGATGGCTCTGGTCAAGCGAAACACCTTGATGGCCGAGGTGCTGCGTGCCCACAGTGCCTGCAGCCCTAGGAAAGGCCTCGTCCCTGTGTGCAGGCAGTGCTCGGGAGTCATACAGGAGTTTAAAATATGTCCGCAGAATCTTTATGGAAGGAAGGTTTCTTTTAGTATACATGTTAAATTGCTTCTGATTGCTTAACATACATCTAAGAAAGTCGAGGAATACAGCTTCAGTATTAAAAGTGTACTATTTTAATTAAGGAAAAGTGCTGAGGCGTACTGTAAGCTGTCCCTGCTGCTGCTGAGTCCCTGTTGCTTCATGGTTAAAGATCTGCTAAGGAACAGCCTCCTGTGAATGGCTCAGTGTCAGTTTGGTTAGCAAATCAGAATAGCTGTCAAGAATCCCCAGCTGCCCCTCAGGGTCCCCCACTGCGAGTGCTTTCTGCTTGGCTCTGCTTTCCGGTGTTGGCAAAGGCAGGGCTGGCAGGGCTGCAGGCCCCTCATTCGGCATTTCCGTGGTCTTTCCTCTCCCACAGTGCTGCAGGCACTTCCCCACCACCACTTCTCTTACCCATATTTACTTTGGCGTTAACACTGTTCCTCTTAGAACAGCAAAATACTTTGTCAGTAATGATGGTTTCACATGTTACATATAGAACACAGAAAAAAAGCCATCTTTTTTTTTTTTTTTAAGTGGCAGCAATGTAAAATATCCACCATTAAATGTTTAAACCAAGCTTTAACAACGTATAAAGCAAGTTTTAACAATCTCTCCCTTTGTTCCTTTTCTAAATGTGACAAAACTGTGGGTTTTTACTTCATGGTCTCATCACTCATCAGGAACATGAATCCTACTGGGGGGAACCCTAGACTGCACTGCCTGTGACAAAGGCTCCTCCTGCTTTCCTCCAAGGGCTGCAGGAATGCAGTCACACAGTGAATGCGTGTGGATTGGGAGGCAGCTGCACAGGCAGATGGATGGGAACAGCATTAGGCACAGAGACTGAAATGTAACTGGGCAAAAAACACTCAAGGGCAGAAGGCACTGCTCAAGTACACGTACTATAGAAAACCTGAAGCAGCCCAAAACACAGAGAATGAAGCTCCCTATGTCAGTGAAACAAGTTTTCATTTCTCTGATGAAAGAAGACATCTCCTAGATTTTAAAAGCTAGCAATATGCACCATTTAAAATGTATTTATGATTGTTTACAGTTGAAGACTCAGTCTTCTACATTTATACTGCTCTCCATAAGAGATAAACACCCTGATGTTCTTCCTTTTCTGAAAAAGCAAAAGTGAAGGGAAGAATGCTGTTCATGGATGTAGGAGGCCACTTCTCATGACACTGGGGGCAGATCAAAAGAAGAACAGTTGCAGGATGAGGCTTGGAAGACTGGGCCCCCTCCTGCACAGCCCCAAGTAGCTGAGTGCTGTGCTCCCTCAGCCTGGGTGAGAGGGTATAGTACCAGTATATCAAAATGGGTCATGGGTCAGCACACTAGAAAACATGAGATCTTCCAACTATGCTCCTCTGTAATGCCAACAACCCATTCCAGTGTTCCTAATAAGCTGAAAAGTAGGGCACTCTTCCACCATACTAATCTGTTATGGAATATTATACAGGATAAAGTTTTAATTTCTCTTTTTGTTCAGAGTGCACGTTATTATTACACCCATTACATATTAGCTGTAAAACTACAGCACAGGAAGAAGCCCAAAAGGTTTGTTTGATATTATTTCCCCTGTCTCTTCTCAGCCCTGTGGAGACTGATGAAAGGCAAGCTTTGTGCTTGTGGTTCCCCCAGACCCACCCTGTCACGTTGGTTCTTTCCTCTCACCCTATGAAACACTTGATTCTCTGCACTCTGATGTACTCCAGTCTTTTGTATATATGCTGTGTTTTGTTTTGCTGAAACAAAACAAACTTCTCTTAACTATTAAAACCAAAACGATATCAAAGGTTATCTACGTGCTGACCTCAGCCTGTCCCAGATCACAAGATCCAAGAGACTAGCTGAAACTGGGTTGAGCCTTTCACCTATTTGCCTACTAGGGCTTTAGATTTCTTCAGCAAAAAGCCACTTCAGTGGTAGGAAGGCACTTTTTCCATTTTCCACATAGTATAGATCACTGGGGCAGCATGGACTATGTTTTTCTGCTGTTCAACTGAGAAAAAAGGAACTTGTACAGCAGCTCCCTCTAAAACACTGGACTATTGGCCCAAGAAACACAAAAAGGAGCACAAGTTTAAAAAATCTTTTAATTTGTTGGATCTCCATTCTAAAACAACTCAAATATATTTCATTTACTGTAAAAACAAACCAAAACGTTTCAGAGTTTTTATGCAAATTTTATCTTGTTGCAATATACAGCAAAAGCTTGCCAATTTGATGGCAAAAAGTTTCTTTAAAAAAAAAAATACACCCCCCCCCCAAAAAAAAAAATCTTTATTAACCTTTCAATGTCAGAAATGTACATTTAAGCTACTTTCAATTTTGGACAGTACATTAATCCATCCACTAGATGTAACATCTGGTAAGGTGAACTCTATGCTTTCTCATAGTGGCGAACAGCCACCACATCACCAAAGGTAAGGGTCTGCAAGGAAAAGAGAAGTATTAGATGCTCAACCATTTTCTGTAACGGCTAACACATTAAGAAGTCTGTACAAGAACAAGATTTCTCTATAAGCTACATAGCATAATAAACAAGTTGCCAAGATTACTGATATTTTAAGTAAGTAACAAGAGAAAGCTCAAAGTTGTAGGTGCCATAATAAATCCAACTTTCTCCTTGCTTTCAAATCTAAGAAGCTCGTAATGCACTTTTGCAATACAACCAAGGTAAGGACAGAAATGACTTTCTAATTTTGTGAATACAATTTCTCAAATACAGCTTTGGTTTGAAAAAGATTTAATACTTATTTTGCCAATGCTGATCTACTTGCAAAACATAGAATTTTAAAGCTAACTTCTCTATTTTCATGTTCTATGTTATTCTACATAAGCATACACTTAAGAAGAATCTCATACTAAGATAAATGCACCCTATACACTCATGTGGCTAAAACTACCAAGTATTCTGGTTTCTACAGTAGTGTACAACACTGACTGCAGAATGTAAGCTTGAGTATTTCACTAAGTGGAATACTGCCTCCAACTGCATTCAAATTCTGAAGGAAATGCTTTCCTGCATATGCATGTAGATGTTCCCAAAAAACAAAGCACATAGTTTTCCTTGAATCACTGTCACATTGTGTTGCACTGACCATAAGAAGTTTTTGTTGTTTGGAATTCTCCATCCACAAGAGTGTTCTCTGAAGTATTCAGAAAACAAAGCAAACTGTTTTCATCCAACAGCCAATTTATACACATTACTGTGGTTGAAGTTTTTTTTGTTCTTTTTGTGTGTGTGTGTGTTTTTTTTTTTCCCCCTGCAAGATACATCTGTATACCAAACATAGCCATGAAAATCAGCCTGGACATTAGAGTAACTTACGCCACTTATTCACCCCATACTCCTACTCCTGAAAATTAGGCAAGAGAACAAACTTAAAACAAAAATTCCTTTTTTTTATTTTTGTACAAATGCTATTTTAAACATTTTTAAACAAGAAAGGGAGAATAAGTCCTTTTGTATGAAATAGGAAAAGCTATTACCTCCTGTAGTACTGAAGTTTTATTCTCCTGGAGAAATACTTGTTCTGTGTAATTCTCTATTATTTACATGCGCATATACGGAATAAGCTATTAAAGAAATCTGAACAAAGCATTGTCTACATATTAAATTATTGATTATTATATTTCGCAACTCAAAAGAAATTATGTTACGTGTAAATGCATGTATTAAAATTGTGATTTGCAATATATATTCATTTGGGCATTTCCATGAACTCTAGAAAGGATGCACTTCGAGAACCCACAGACTGGCCTGCCTGGAGCCAAAGAGCCATCAGCAATTTTCCAGCAAGATGCCAAACAAAAAGTAATGATCTGAGAAGTGTCCACTAGCTTCACCTTGGTTCTGTGTTACAGATACCTGTGAAATTCACAAGCTTGAGACAAATGTGAAGAAGGAGCGTTAGTGGTGTACATGAATGCTCAGTGACTTTTGTACTCACCATTACCATTCTGCCATCCTTTATTTCTCTTACAAAGTTTGTCTCTTTGCCATCCCATTTCTGTACATGCACTAGCTTGTCTCCATCCAGGGTCACAACTGACTGTGAGATATTAAAGAATACAAACACTCATTTACCTGGGATATTTGAAATTCTACTCATAGGATAAGCATATACTTCTCAATGGAATTCTCTTCAACAGATATGTGGACCTACAACAATAAAGTGGTCCCAGGCAGGCAGAGCAAAGTACATGAATCATCCTTATTTTAAGGATGGGATCTATACAATTCATGTTTGTATCAAAAAATGGAAAAAAAAAATTGTTCCTTTAGAGTTCTAGTCTCTCAGGAACCATCATTTTGGATGTGCTTTGGGATAACATTTATGTTGAGCCCCTAAAGACAGAGGGAGAAGCGTTCCTCCATTTTGGAAAGGGTCACACTAAATGGTCTTTGTGTCAAAAGTAAAGAAAAATGGAAAAAAAAAAAAACTCCTCAGCACTGGACAGGAGAAATGGGGCTGAAAACACAATACACTGATTCAAAAAAAGACCCAGCACACGTCACCAAATACAATGCAATCCTGTCTTTTCCCCCCATCCTTCGCAGTGCTACAACTGCGGCAGCAGTTACATTTTCCCTTCCACCCCACCGTGCAAGGATACCACTGGGAAGGGGGAGAAAAGAAGAGATTCTCTGAACGAGAGGTCACTTACTTTGCAGTTTCTGTCGTCGGGGGTAGTTTCATCAAATTCCTCGCCCAGTTTAAAGCTGATTTCTGTGTTTTTGAAAGTGCTCTGAGTCCTGATCACGACTTTGTCCCCCTCGCTGCTGATGATCACCGTGGGCTTAGTCACGTTCCCCACCTGCCGCATCGCAAACCCCACTCCTACACCGCCAGGGAAAAGCAGAAATCATCACCTGCTTTTTTTTTTTTTTTAATACACCCTTTCGTTCACACACACAGGCGCAGACAATTCTGCCCCCGCTCTACAGCTTTGGGACGCCGCAGTGCGATGCTGCTTCCCGTCTCGCTTCCATCCCCGCACACCCGTCCCTCCACGTGGGTGAGGCGCTGGATCACCCCTCGCGGAGCCCGAGCAACGCCGCGGGGCCGGGGCCGCCCGGGTGATGCCCCGGCACAACGCTTATCTCTATTTGTCTGCCGCGTAGCTGCAGCAGCTCAGCTCTTATCCCACGCTCTCCCGTGACCCGGGGCTGCTTGCAGCAGGCTGAGGGCAGCCATCCCGACACTGAGCTTCCCGCATAGCTACCCGGGCAACCCCGGCAAGGAGCGGGGGGGGGGGGGCTCCCGTTGTCCCCGATAGCTCTTCTGTGGGACTCCGATTTAGTTTGTATTTCACTGTGATGCATATTCTCGGCTCCGGATCTCCCGGTAGCACCTACCCAGCGCCTTCATGTACTCGTCAAAATTGTGGCTGTCCGCCAGCTTCCACGTCGCGCAGAACGCCTCAACCATGACAGCGGTTGCCGGAGTGCCGGGAAACACCACAGGCGCCTCACCGTTCCGCATTTAAAGCCCGCGCCCTGCGGGGGGCCGGCGGGAGGGGAGCGGCGGGAGAGCCGCCCACAGGGCCGGACGGGGCCGGGGCCGGAGTCTGCCCTCCCCGCTTGCAGGGCTCTCCCCGCCCCGCGGCAAATCGGGCTGCCCGGGGATTGGTGGGGCCGACGGTGATGGGGCGCCCGCAGGGCGGCATCATTATCCCAGCGGCGGGAATTTTTTTTATTTATTTTTTTTCCATCTGGATGGAGAGTTTTCTTTCTTCTACTTTGAAATCTGCTAGAAGCACTGGGGCCTGTCCCTTTTGTGTCTTGCAGGAGGTTGCCCAGCTCAGTAGAACAAGGTTTTTGGGCGATTTTCCTGAGCGGATTCCACAGCCTTGATTCCAGCTCTCAGTTCTCACAACAAAGCTCAGGGGCTAAGTGAAGGCAGTTTTCTGTGATTTGGGAATAAAACCTCAACAGCTGCCTACCTAGGCCAGCCATAATAACTATTAGTCTTCTCAACATTATTTTTAGGCCACCATTAGCTTTTCTTTCAGGCTTTTGTGCCGTGGCACCTTTTTTTAGTCTAGAGCATTGATGCTTGATTTATCACTTTTTACTTGTCCCCAGAAGAATTAACTCCTCTCTGAACCCCAGGGATACAATCCTAATTCCTCACATCACAAAACACAAGTTTTGTTAGTCTTGATAGCCTGACTAAGGGTAGGGACTACTTCTCTTTAATTTTCCATCTCCTTTATTTGAAGTACAGGCAGAGACATAAAGTGTCGGTGGTTACACATGCCCTCCCGCAGCTCCTTGGTTTATGTTCAACTTTCTTTGTTTCTGAGGTTTCTGAACCTTTATTTCTGGGAGTCTTCAACTCTTCTGAGCTGTATTTCCAAGACTTTTCAACTTGTGATCAAAAACAGGGAGAGGAAGAGCATCATGGACATATATGCTCAAATAGATACTATTGGCAGAAGCCCTGGAGTCTACACTGATCCTTCTGGTGCTGCTGCTTCTGATCCTTTACGAATGCAGAGAGCCCTGGGATGTCTCCTTGCTCTTTCTACTCTCTGGGTCTTGTTGTACAGAAACAGCCTCATGGATTTTGCAGGATAGAAAACTCGTAAAAGTGAAGCAATGCCACTGCTGGTAGCTGGACTGTTCAAAGATTCTTCTGTCTTGTATATTCATTTTTGCAGCACTGCAGCCTGACCCCCGGGAGGCACCACTTCAGGATCCAACCTAATTTAAGCAATCATACCTACACTGATGGCTCAGTTATACCAGGATTTCTCAACATTCTTGGCTAAGACAAGTATTTAGTCTTCAGTAAAAATAACACTTTCACACTTTGCACCATGCTTTAGATGTTAAACAGGGTCTGATAAAATGTCCACATTCCCTCTGCTTCTTAGTCAGGTTGCCAAAGTCATGACACTAGTCTATATGATGGTGAGATCCCACCTGTCTATGGTGGTGATGATCTGGGAGCAGAATAAACCAGAAAGAGGAAATGTTGCATTACCAACATCTTCTGGGGTGACCACAGTCAGAAACACTTTCCATTGCCTTGTCTTGTAGGTCTTTATGCCAGAGATGTGTTCATGTCAACAGCTAGTACAAGCCTATAGCAATGCTTTTCTGTTCTCTGGAATCACACAGCAGTGTGAAATATACTGACATTGTGTAATTTGCTGCACAAGAGACAAGCTTACAGTTCCTGTTAAACTCTGAGGAGACTGTGAAGGTTTCAACAGACTGCATATGCCATAGCACAGAAAACTGATGTGATGAATGGTGTCTCCAGAGATTTCCCTCTGGCCACCTGGGGACGTTCTCATTTATACTGAACTCTTTCCACCACTTGAGCAGTGTCAAGTAGGCACATGTGAAATCTCTGTGAAAGAACAACTTGAAAGATGAAAATACTGTAGCAAGACAGCACTATGTAATGAGTAACCCTGGCTCCCAAAGGTCATTTAGGGTGAATGTGGGACTGGTCTAACCTTCAACCTTTGAATACAGGACGCAAAACCTGCTTTTTGCTACTCTTCCCTCGTGTTCAAGCCCTGCTTCACATGTCCTCAGGCATTCCAAGAATAGAGGAGCAGCCTCAGGTCAGCTCCACTCAGCCCTTAAAAAAATTCACTTGTTCAAGGGGAAAAAAAGAAGGAGAGCAGCACAAAACTGTCATCAGGCAACTGTGATGGCAAAGTTTGACCAAGCAGTTGTTATACATGAATACCTCATACTCAGTGCTGGGAGCAGCTGAGAAACGAATCAGTGCAGTCAATCACAAAAGGCTTAGTATATTGATTATGGAAAAGAAGAAAAATTGGTGCAAATAGTGTTAGAAGAAATAGTGTTTGAAGAAAGGTTTATCTAGCCTTCTGCAAGTCTCTCTGTGGATCCAACACAGGAGGAGTTCCCTTCCTAAAGCAACTTAGTTAAACCTATCATTTCACGTCCTTGTAGTACAATAGCCAGGCATTCTCTATAGAGTAGAGTTTGGTTAATAGTTAAGGAGATATTACATTATAAGAATTTCAGATAATTCAGTGTTGACTGCATTATTGAAACATTTTTGTGTTTGGATCAGCAAAGGTTCTGCAGCTGAAGAACATTTTCACATGCTCTCATGTATGCAAAGTGATATCAGATCCCAACTCCTCTGATGTGAAAGCAAATATTGAAACATCAAGGCCTTGTAAGTATAAAATTCCATTGAAAACCAGCATGATTCAAGGTCCCAACTGATTCAGGAATTTGAGGAATCTCTTAGCATTCTGAAATACACAGGGAGTTACAAATGAATTAAGTGAATCAAAAATAACATGTATCTGAAAGTAAATATTTCCTTCATTTACATAGAGCAGGCTAGGGTATTCTCAGCACTCTCTAACCTTGTTTGAAGCCATGATGTGACTTCTGTGTGGCTCTGATGTCGATGTAATACAGAAAGGGCTAGAGTTTAGTAGCTATTATGTCAGATGGGGTGGTGTAGCTTTAAGGCTGAGTGTGATTTGATTTTTGGTGCTGCAGAAATATCTAATGGCAAAGAGGGCAGTAGAATGTCCTTAACCAAAATTATCTCATATGTTCTCTAGTTGTCTAAGAGATTTGCTGATCCAGCTAATGAAAATAAAATTTAAGTGCTTTTGGTTAGTCATAGAAAAACACTAGTTTTACTCTATTGATATGCAGCTCTTCAGAAATCCTTGTTTAAACAAAAGAGAGAAATGCCTGGTGAAAAAGACACCACCAGCATCCACCTCTGACATTATGGGCCAACATAATAAAATAGGAGGCATTACTTTTGAAGCAGCTCTTGTACAATTTCAGCCTGGCTAAGTGTGAGGTTAGCTTGGTTGAAATAAATATATAATATAAATGATTATTGCAGGGGCAATAATGACTCTGAGTGAAACTTTGAAGCCATACAAATAGGGTGAACACACTAAGTTAAAATATTGCAATTTGTATAAACATAAGAATAGTGCACGTTTAAGCTGAATAGACGACTTGTGTTTGACTAGTTTCTAGTTGGACTGATTCTGGAAGACTTGTGTAAACTTTGTGTTCAGAACAGACCAGTGAGAATACTAGTGGAGCAGAATCTAAGGATGCTGTATTACTCTGCGGCCAAGAAGACCAATGGTATCTTGGACTGCCTTACAAAAAGCATAGCCAGCATGGCAAGGGAAGTTACCTTCTCCATCTGCTCTGCCCTAGTAAGGCCATATTTAGAATACTGTGTCCAGTTCTGGGCTCCCCAGTTCAAAAAAAGAGAGTGATCTCTTACAAAGAATCCAGCAGAAGGCTACAAAGATTATTAAGGTTCAGGAGCACCTCCTGTGTGAAGAAAGGGTGAGTAACCTGGGTCTGCTCAGCCTGGCGAAAAAAAGACTGAAGAGGAATCTGATAAATGTTTATAAATATCTAAAGGGAGGTAAAAGGCAAATGATGAGGCCAGGCTCTTCTTGGTGGTGTGTAGCGATAGCACAAGGAGTAATGGCCTAAAACTTGAACATAGGAAGTTTCATACTAACATGCAGAAGAATTTCTTAATGGCAAAGGTGACAGAGCACTGGAACGTTTTGCCAAGAGAGGTGGTGGAGTCTCCTTCTCTGGAGATATTCAAGACTCGTGTGGATGTCTACCTGTGCAACCTACTGTAGGGTACCTTCAGAAGGGTTGGACTCAATGTTCTATTGAAGCCCCTTCCAAGCCCTGCAATTCTGTGATTATAACAAAGATAGGGAATGCTTTTTAACATCAGCAATCCAAATTTTACAGTATTAAAGATACAGGTAATCTCTAAGTAATATATTATCTTTCTGCAGCACTAGTATATGCCATGGAGGCTGCCTAATACTGAGAATATTTGACATTCAGCATAAGCAGTCTTGAACATTTGGATATTACCTGGATGCCTCTCTGTTTATCCAGCTGTGGACTGACAGAGGAGTCACAGCCTGCCAAAGCCACACCCCTGTGGCACTGTTTCCTCTGATTCAAAATCTCTCATGGGGCACAAACCATTTTCTCTGAAGTCCTAAACTGGCAGAGGGATCCAGGTATGGTTAATGCAACCTTGAAAAAAATGCTGAGTTCCACAGTCTTCATAAATAATTTAATTAGATTATCAACTTATGGGCCTGTTGTTAAGGAAAATATGCCTATCACAGATCAGGCAGAAGTACTTCTGAAATGTTAGCTCATAGTAGGTGACCTAGATATAATTACATACCTTCCTTGTCAATTCATTTACATAGTGCAAATATATCCCTGCTTTACACATTGGTTTGTGTGAAACGAATTATTTTTCAGTTTTCACAAGTCTAAATACATAAGCTTCCTCAAACATAAAGTTCAAGAGCAAGTTTAAGCATTGCAAAATAGCCTATTACTAGCTTTAAATAAGGACTAATAACAAGACAAACTTGGGGAAAACTCATCGTCTTTGCTATTAGGAGATTAACCCTGGAGAAACTAAAATAAGACTGGATCTTCAGTCTAGTATACAAAGG